ATAAAAATAAAAAAATAAAAAAAAAATAAATAAATTGAGAACCGAAACTAGAAACCCATTTCACGTGATAAACAGAACCCTGATTTCCCTAACTTATGAACCCACATAATGACACAAATTACACCTTCTAACAGAAATTCAAACTGCAAAGCCCTAACAAAAATCGAAACTTCAAGGGGATCTCATAAGAACTTAAAAATTGGAAAAATTCCACTGGTCTCGCTGGCGTACGCAGCGGGATCAGAGAATATATCCGATTAGAAAACGGAAATTATGAAGATCAATATGTAATTCAACAAGAAAATAAATCAAGATAAAAAAAGCAGGGAAAAATAAAGGCAAAATCAATGCAAAATGAGCCAAAGAAAATAAGAAGAGGTACCTGAAGAATGAACCAAGAAAGAAGAGAAAGAAATCGCGAATTCGTAGCACAACCAAGAAAATCTCAAGGCAAATAAAATTAGTATGAAACAACGGATTGATTTCGATTTTATGACATAATAATATATCTGTGTGTACGCGTTTGGTTTCGCTTTTGGGTACTTATTATCTATTTTTTCTTTTTCTTGTTTGCCAAATATCGCCTTTTTATATTATATACTAGCTTGTTCTCGGCTGTGTGCCGAGCCCAATTCGAAATCTAAAATTGTTTTAATTAAGAATTACGTGAGTATATAAGTTGGAATTGTTTGTATATAACTGAAAGAATAAAAAAAGTATTCTATATGCATACATCGTGGAATTGTTAGTGCGCGTGAGGACAAAAATTTCGAAATTGTCAATCTAATGAATTAGAAAAAAATTCTAGAATGCAAAGTAATTATAAAAATCGACTTTGTTAACATATGTAATATGATTTTGGAAAGATCATCGAACTTTTTCTCATCCATGGAAGTAAAGCAACTAAGAAATTTTTTCTACATGGAAAATAATCATTTTGAATGTGAACTTAAGTACACCAATCTACATTGCCATTGTCGTTTAAAAGATCCTTTGTAGGCTCGAGTTTGATATTTTTTTTATGCATTACAAATGATATCAATTTAATATGTGGCATCACAAATTCTAAGTTACTTTACGATTGTTGTTTTCTTAGATATGAGAACGCCAGAAATGCATTGAAGTTACCCCAAGAAAAAAAAAAATATTTTGAACGAGAAATGCATTGAAGTGACCCCCAAGAAAAGAAAATTTTTTCATACTCGTTCGACTTTAAATACAGCCAAAATTATAGATCTGTATAAAAAAAATGTTCCGTATAAGAAATAAGCAGTTATAAAATATGCTCACTCAATGTGGCTTCTTTTC